CAATTAAACCTAATGAAAATAGAAGGTAAGATAAAATAAAGATAGCAGAAATCAGTAATTTTAAAACTAATATACAAAACAGAAAATCTGAGAACAATAAAATTGTAAACCTCTAGCAAGATAAAGAAAAATATTACCATAATTGAGAATTTAAAAGGAGACATTGCTACAGAGCCTGTAGACCTTAAAGAGATAGGATATTGTAAAAATAAACAAAACTTTGTATCAATAAACTTGACAATGCAGGTGAAGTAGAAAACCATTTTGGAAAACAATTTATTAAACCTGACCCAACAGAACATATTCCAGAAAATGAATCTATTTTAAAAAGCTTTCCCACAAAAGAAAAAAAGGCCCATATGGCTGGTTGGTCCCTTTGGGTGATACTTTTATGTACTTTTTAAGCCAAAAACAAAAGGTATTCGTCTTAGATAAACTCTTCCAAGGTACTGAGAAAAGGGAGAACTTCTGATCATTTATTTTAAGGCCAGCATGACTTAACACCATAACTTTATAATCCTTACAAAAAAATAATAAAATTCCAGAACAGTCTCAGACCTGTTAATAATTACTTTAAATGTAAATGGATTAAATGCTCCAATCAAGTTACATGAAGTGACTGAATGGATAAGAAAACGTATTATGCTGCCCACTTCAGATCACAAAGACACTCACAGACTGAAAGTAAAGGGATGGAAAGATAATTCATGACAAGGAGAATGAAGGGGGAAAAAAAGCTGAGTGGCAATACTAACAAAGGATCCAGAAATTGGGTAGTTATCTGAAGAAACCCAAAACACTAATTTGAAAAAACACATGCCTCCCTATGTTTATTGCGGAATTATTCATAATAGCCAATATATGGATGCAATCTAAGTGTCCAGTGATAGATCAATGGATGAAGAAATGATATATACAAAGTCTATCCAGAAGGTATCCAGCCAAGTAATATGAAAAATAGAAACATTTACTGAAGAAGATACAAGAAACATTGTACATGAGGCATTGACACCTGAGTCCCCTTCAAAGAAGGTACCTTGGGACCTCACACAGTTCTTCCAATCGCCATCAGCTGCCTTGCTCTATTTTCCTGAATTTCATGAGTGGTCTGAAATTCCCCTTTCAAAGGTGAGTTGAGTTTTGGGAAAAGCCAGGAGTTGCAGGGCATCAAATCTGGGCTGTAGAGGGGCTGAGTCACCTGGGTGATACAATGTTTCACAAAAAAACTGCACAAGATGTAATGCAAGAGTGTGAGCATTGTCATGTTGAAGCTGCCAGTGACCATATGGCCTTAGCTGCCACCTTCTGAATCATCGGAATAGTTTCCACAGAGGAATGTTCAAGCTTAACGCAAAATTTGATGCAGATTCATTTCTGTTCTTGTTCAGTCATTTTGAATATGACAGCCACATAGTGCACACACTCATTGAACAGCATCTACTGCCCCCAGTTACTAGTATAGTGAAGTCATTGTTCACTCATGCGCATTCCAGTCTACTCTCCTTGGCTGCTAGGTTACATCAGTGTCATGCAGAACATTCTCATTATATTGACAATGGCTGGACCTTTTCCAGACCTCATATATCTATACAATGGGACATTACTAAACCATAAATAAGAATGAATGAAATCTTGACATTTGTGGCAACATGGATGGATGGGCCTAGAGTATATAACATCAAATGAAATAAGTCAGAGAAAAATTCACTTACATGTGGGATCTAAAAGTAAGTGAGCAAACTCATAGATACAGAGAATAAACTGATGGTTGCCAAATGGGAAGAATGTTAAGTGAAAAGGGGGAAGGGATTAAGCTATGCAAATGGCCAGTTAAGGTGTCAGCTGGGTAGTAGATTTACCAGGGCGATAAGTTTGTAAGTTGCATAAATGTCTAATCACTATGTTGTACTCCTGAAATGAACATAACACTGTATGTTAACTATAATATAAAAAATTAAGATGATCTCTATAAAAGCAAAGCATTTGATAAATTTCAATGCCTGTTTATTATCAAGAACCCTTTGCTAAGTAGGAAAGAAAGGATCTTAATCTTTTCTAAAAATGTACTGAAAGAATTATCTTTAACAGTTTCTGAAAGTTTCTTCCCAGAGATTTTTAAAAAACTGATAATGATAATTGTTATCACCACTTCTCTTCAACATTGTTCTGGAAGTCACAACCAATGCAATAAAACAAGAAAAAGATGTAAGAATTAGGAAGGAAGAATTTTAAATGTCATTTGTATATAACATGATTGTAGACATAGAAAAATTCCAAAAAACTCAAAACCGTTGGAATTAACTCATTTTTCAATGTCACTAAATACAAGTTTGATATTTTTTAGAGCATTAACACTTTCACTTTTAATGTACAAACAACAGTTACAAAATGAAGTTTAAAATACTACCATTTGTAATCCCATTGAAAATACTGAGTATTTAACAAAGAAAACCCATAAGAAAGAAGGAAATATATCTGTGATTGGAAAAACTATTGAAAGATTCCAGATCTCCAAAATCAATTTGTATTGGCAGTGAAAATCTCAGGTTTATTTTTGTGGAAATAAAGCTGGTTTTATAATTTGTAAGGAAATGTAAAAGTAAAGAATAGCTAAGACAACATTGAAGAACGAGGCTGTGGTCTTAAACCCAGATATCATAATCTATTTAAAAGCTGAGTAAAAAGATGTGGTATTGGTCAAAATGTATACAAAGAACGAATCAAAATAGAGTCCAGAAATGAAGTGATTTTTTTTAAAATAAATGAATCTATCTTGACCTATCTCGCATCACATACAAAAAAAGATTGTAGATCTAAATGTGAAAGGTAAAGCAGTGCTGCTGTTCATTTTAAAATGTAGAATATGATCTTAGGATGCACATTTCTTAAATGGAACACAAAAGCACTAACTATAAAGGAGAAAATAATATGCTACAGTATAATTTTAAGAGCTTTTTATTAAAAGATATCATTAAAGGTGAAAAGCAACCAACAGAAGCCCTAAGTTTTCAACTGGATTTTCCTACCATAGAATTTTTAGGATAAAGATGTCACATATCAGTCACTTTCCGCTACAGAGGCTAGCTTTCTGACTTCACAGCCGCACCTTAGTCAGAAGTGTTTGTTAATGGAAGCTCTCTGAAACTTTTTAACGCCTTCCTCAAATTCAGTCAAATTGAACTTTGAAGTCTTTAAGTGCCTACAAAAACTGATATTGTTTGAATATGAGGAAACTTGAAACCTTGGTTTGAATATTCCACTGATAACTAGAAGTAACCCAACTTGTACTCTAATTTTGTCGTATTCCAATGAAGTAGTAAAAATAGTCCAAACACAGAAACAGGAAATACAAGAAAATATCTTTTATTCTTGTACCATACCTTAAAATTTTGACATAGGTTCATGGTTGTAATAGAAGTATACATCTTACATGAAATTCTGCTTAATATTGGTCATTAATAGGTAGTTTATTATGAAAACATGTACAAACCTTTAAAAAATTATTAGAATTTAAGTTTGAAAGAATCATACATGAAACAAAAATAATTTCTATAGTAGCTTAATCAATATTTTATATTAAACCTACCACCTAACAATTATGAATGTCTGTTATTTTTGAGGTATGATCATTTGATGTACAGATCATTAATTTTTGTCTTTAACACCAAAAATGCTATATATAATTTAGTCATTTTTATTGAATTCAGTAAAAATTGTAATCTCACATTTTACTCAGTTTGTGTTTAGAGTGATATAAGGCACATTAAATCTAATTGAGGAAAAATGACAAATAGCAGATTAGTGTGAAATTTATCTTTGGCATCATATTAAACTACACGTTTTTCATTTTGGCAAAACTAATATTATTCTTTCATAATTTTAGATTATTTATAAAGTTTGTTAAGAGGGTAAAGAAAATGAAAATGTCTCAAATCTGTTTCTAATTTACCAGTGATTCTATCGGGTTCTTATACATGAACATTCCACTTTATTGTAGAATTTTCTGTATTTCTATTTCATTATACAGGATCCAGCACAAATAATACCCCTTTTTATTACAAAAAGCATAAGTATGTAATTCTGTAATGTAACAGGATCACACTCAATCACACCATATGACATTTTAGCTGAAATGTTCAAATTAAAACAATTTACACCCATATTATTACCCTACCAACCAACTCCAGGTGTTACTTCTGCTGGACCCTGTATAATGACATAAATGTAAGCAGCATGACTTAGTACGTATGGTTTTGACACAAACTTCTGCAAGAAGTTCTACAAAGGCAGCTAAATTTGAACTCTCCCCTCTGCTTTGCTTTCACAGTGAAGCAGAACATACCTGCTTTCTCTGTCAGTTCTAAGACCACCAGTAATGTCTGTTTTTATGTGATTTGCACAAATTACACAGAAACACAAATAACTTCAGAAACATTAAATTATAAGCCCACAAAGATATTTGAGTAATTTCATTACCTTATTTAAAAACTTAGTGATTAGTGTGCCTACTTTGTAAGTTGTGCTATAATTAAAATAATAGTACAGAGTCAAGCTTCTTAGAAAATTTTAGTTTTGCCAAACTTAATGGAATTCTTTTTTCCTTGAAAATTGACATCATAGTAATTCTCCTGATACTCACCTATAGTCAGCTTTCTTAGATATAATAATTATTTCATTAGAGATCTGCAATAATTTCTGCAGTGAATACCCACATAATTTTCCCTAAAAGGTTAAGTGCTGAGAGTGACGTCACAGGAATGGTGGTGTGAGAGACCCCTTTGGTCTCTCCCCCGGATGGGTAAGTGGAATTCCAAATGTTTATGTATACTCTATCAAAATCTTCCAGTATCCTCAGAAATAGTGTGCCAAAAAGTCATTCATGGAAAAATTATTTAATATTTATGAACTTATTACAGAGCAGTTTGCATTTTGATTTTGACTAAATTAGCATTTAGCATTAAGACATTAGTGGATCAAGTATGGCTTTTGTGGTTGAAGGTTCACTCAAGTAGAGTAATCAGAACGTGGTCATCGCGGCCTTGCCATAACATCTCTCCTTCAAAGTCAACCAGTCCGTGTTTTCTGGCACGCATGAGGATGCCCACTACTTTATCTGAAATACGGACGTATCTGTCAAAGAGATCTCCGAAAGTAACCTGGATCTTTCCATCCCGTCTGTGGCGCGCCATCGTGCGGATAATGAAGCACATGTCCATAATTTCTCTGTAGATGTGCTCCTCAGCTCGCTTGGCCCTTTCGGCAGTCTTGGTTCCCTCCTTGGGACGGCCATAGCCTTCATCTCCCTTGTGTAGGCGGGTGGACATGGCCAGCTGATAATCGAATTCTTCACTGAAAGGGTTGAGCTTCTGGGACTGTATGTGTTCATCGGCCCACTGTTGCCATCTCCCTTTCAGGCTGTGCACTTGGCTGTGTTGCCGTTGGGCCTTGCAGTTGAGTTTCTCCATAAATCGGTTTGCCCTCAAGGAGAGAGAGACAGTGAAGAATCAAGATACTGATATTTAAACACACAACTGGTACTTTCTCATTGTACTTCTGCACTTACGCATTTTAATGTAAGTCTCTACTTTTCTCATCATCAAGGGAATGTAAACACAATGGAAATAGAAATGAAAGAAGAAAAATACACAGTGCCACCATCGTCTTTAGTTTATTGTATGTCTTAGATTATTTTCTCTGGATGAAGGAAGGTTTCAAGCACTATATGATAATAATATTAAACTATTTTAGGGGAAAAACATTTCCTTACACACAATGCAAATGCATGCGTCTTAAATTTCATGTTAACATTTTAGAACTGGAATCAGGACTGTATTAAGGGGGTCCACTTTCTGTAGATCTTCAGAAACCAGCTATTTCCCCTGAAAAAGGCTTATACCACCAGCACACTGTAATATTTACATGTAGATTCTCATGTATGGATTGTTAATAAGGGCATATCTATACTAGCATCAGTGATGTACCACAGAATTTTTTAAAGATTTTATTTGTTTATCTTTAGAGGGGAAGGGAAGGAGAGAGGGAGAGAAACATCAATGTATGGTTGCTTTTCGTGTGTCCCCTGCTGGGAACTGGCCTGCAGGGAACCGGCCTGCAACCCAGGCATGTGCCCTGACTGGGAATTGAACCATGATCGTGTGGTTCGCAGGCCAGCGCTCAATCCACTGAGCTACACCAGCCAGAGCCACAAATTTTAAAGTAGCAAATTGCATAGATAGGAGACATTTGCTGGCTGTAGTAACATTTATTGAATATTATGTGCTGGCATTCTTCTAAATACTTTATACTAATAGCCCCACAAGCATTCTATGACACAGGTATTAGTGTGCTCATTTCACAGATGAGGAGGAAACTTGAGGCCAGAGGGGTTAAGTAACTAAAGTCACAAAACTTAAGTGATAGAGCTGGGATCTGAACCCAGCTCTATCAGTGTTAAGCTGGCCCCGGAGCCCATGTATCACTACAAAATACTGCCCTAAACCAGCCGCAGAGGCGGCATTCAAACAACTGACACTCAAGTCGATCTGAGTTTCATGGTGCCACTCAGTATGTGGGTGAGTTGCGTGTCAACTGTGTGTGTATCCTTGCAATTTAGAATGTATGTATTATTAAAAAGATAGCACTGGGAAGTGTAGACCAATAGTGTAATGAGGATGAAGGCCTAATTTTGAAATGGCCACAGTGTGCCTTTGAAACACTTCCCTGTCATTCTGTATCTCTGATCTAGACTTTTTCTCTAGATTTCTTTGCCTTCACAAGTAAACATGATCTGTTGGACTCTCTCAGAGTCAGAGCTCTGTATTCCTCATCCTCACGCATGACCCACGGTTCCTCCTCCCCAACAGCAAATGGCCCCATGTCTGCAAGCAGTGGGCTTGGGGGCGGAGAGCAGTGCTAAAACTGCCTACAGGAGGGGCGTGCCTGAACTAAGTAGCCCCTCCCACCAAAACTCACCATTCGCTAATGAAAACCCAGGAACAGGTCAGACAGATGTAGGTATTCCTCACCGTCTGAACTCACTTCCTGAAATCTGGTCATCCCAGTGCAGGAAGCTAATAGACTTGGATAGGGGGGCCTTCGCATTTGTAGTTAGCATCGTTTTCAAAGGAGGAGGAATGACATCCACTAGAGGGCACACTTTCACTAGTTCCCAGGCTTTGTGTTTCCAAAAGCCCTAGCCTGTAACTAGAGAGAGCAAACTAGGACTACACTGCTACAGATAACACTACCCTTCTGTGTAGCCACGTGGACCAAAAGGACATGACAAAGTTAATCGGGAAGAAGCAGCATACAAAAATTATACATAATCATTACACGTTTAAAAAGATATATATACGCACACATATGGGACAGTGCTAGGAGTTGCATCACACTGAAGTGAAACGGATTTCTCTGCCATGCTGGTCCTCACCATCACCTCCCCCTCCACAGACTGTCCTTGTTCAGCTGCCCAGACTCCCGGGCAGCTTCACCTCATTATCGAAGGAGAGCAAACACCTTATCCCCTTGGATCTGTGGCAATCCTTCAATAAATAGCCCCAGGCCGTCCCTGCAGAACCCAAAGGTCATACCAGATTTGTAGTTTCTAATTTTAATTAAGAACTAGATTCCCTGAGTGTTGAAACTGTCATTTGGAATAAGGGCTGGGGATGGTGAGGTTCTAAGTCTATGAAAAAGAAAAACATTTATCTTCTAAAAGAAACACCTTTTGAATCTTAATATGCATGTGCTATATTGCCAAATAGAAGAGAAGGAAAACAAAAAATTGGTTCTGTAAGTAAGAACTATGTTAAAAAAAGTGTTATGAAGAAAAGTCCTAGGAGGACATACACCATGAGTATTCAATTTTCTCTCTCTTACAAATGTTCTATATCGTTTTTGTATTTCCTATTTTTAAAAAGTCTGAAAATATCTATTTGAAATCAGGATTTAAAAGCCTTATATCCTAAATATCTTCTTGGTCAGTCAACTTAAAAATCCCTATTTTTCTTATCCTGTTTTTTTTTACAAGTAAAAATGTATGTAATAGTTTAGATTGAGTTTTAGGAAGGTAATCTAATATAAACTTATAGAAGACAAAGTAATATTTAACATCATATCTGTACTTTGGGATAGTAATATTTAGTCCTGACTCGCCTTTTTAGTTTCATTATCAAAACAAATTTTCTTATAGCTCATCAGTAAACATTCCCGCTGTCCCGTATGTGCAATGCAACTAACTAATCACACTAGACATAAACATTCTGTCTTGGAAAGTCTAGTTTCATTCACTGAAATAAATTCTCAACTTTATTCCATATCTCTCAACTTTCAAAGTGACATCAGTTCGACGTTGCTGCCTTATGTGACGTGGCTCTTCAGTTATATGCAGAGAATATGGGAACCAGTGTATCTCATTTTATCAATTTGGAGCAATCGTTATGTGGGTAAATTAGAAAATGTGAAAAGAAAACAAAAGTTCTGGAAGATGTATTTTAAACCTAACCAAGTTCATTGGCACTACAAACATTATCTCCAATAAATTCATCTGGATCACCAGCTTCAAAGGGTCCAGGGCCTGAGTCTCGGAGCTGCATGTGGCCATCCCACCTGGAGCCTCTCCGGCAAAGGGAGAATGTCCCTTCATGGCCTGGGACCATTTCTCTGTCCACAAAGCAGAGCCCTCCTTTCCAGCCTCTCAACTGTGTCCTGGGGAGAATTTGTTTTCTGCGCATTGGTTTTCTTGCTCTTTTCCACAGGAAGAGTGGCCAGTTTGACGTCATGAGAGCATGACATCCACAGGGTCTCATTTATGAGGAGCAGGGTGACTGCATTCAAATGGCCGGGTCAATATCTCTGATCAATAATTTTGCTCATCTGTTATCAACCAGGTTTGAGGGCCAGGCCTGTGATTCTCCTTGCAGGTTGGAAACCGTCCTCAGTCAGTGGAAAGGGCCCCAAACTCTAGGATTGAGAGTGAGTAGTAGAAAGCCACACTTTGGCCTTTGTTTATAGCAAAGTCCTTTAGTATCCAGAGGTGGATGGAAGTAGGTATACAGTTCAGATGGAAAAAGACGGGCAGGTTATGATTATTAAAATAGCTGTATTAACTGAAAACAATGTCACGGTGGCCCAGGGCATTTGGGTGCAATCGAGTAAGTGCTGCAGTTGCCGGCCTTCACTATGTACACAGTCTGGGTGGGAGTCTCCTAGCTACACGCAGCACACTTTGGACAGAGCTCTTCATAAACCTACTTTTTTGCCCACCCCTGTATATTTTAAAATATATTTTATTGACTATGCCATTACAGTTGTTCCATTTTCCCCCCTTCATTCCCCTCCACCCTGCACACCCCCTCCCACCCACATTCCCCACTTTAATTCATGTCCATGTGTCATAAGTTCTTCAGCTTCTACATTTCCCACACTAATCTTGCCCTTCCCCTGTCTATTTTCTCCCCACTGTCTATGCTACTTATTCTCTGTACCTTTCCCCCTCTCTCCTCCCACTCCCCTGTTGCTAACCCTCCATGTGATCTCCATTTCTGTGGCTCCGCTCTTGATGTAGTTGTCTGCTTAGTTAGCTTTTGTTTCAGGTGTGGTTGTTAACACCTGTGAGTTTGCTGTCCTTTCACTGTTCATATTTTTTATCTTCTCTTTCTTGGATAAGTCCCTTTAACATTTCCTATAAGGGCTTGGTGATGATGAACTTTTTTAACTTGATCTTATCTGAGAAGCACTTTATCTGCCCTTCCATTCTAAATGAAAGCTTTGCTGGATAGAGCAATCTTGGATGTAGGTCTTTGGATTTCATGACTTGGAATACTTCTTTCCAGCCCCTTCTTTTGCCTGTAAGGACTCTTGAGAAATCGGCCGACAGTCTGATAGGAACTTCTTTGTAGGTGACTGTCTCCTTATCTCTTGCTGCTTCTAGAATTCTCTCCTTCATTTTAATCTTGGCTAATGTAAGTATGATGTGCCTTGGTGTGTTCCTTCTTGGGTCCAACTTCTTTGGGACTCTCTGAGCTTCCTGGATTTCCTGGAAGTCTATTTCCTTTGCCATATTGGGAAGTTCTCCTTTATTATTTATTCAAATAACTTTTCCACTTGTTGCTCTTTCTTATTCCTTTCTGGTACCCCTATATTTCAGATGTTGGAACATTTAAAGTTGTCCTGGAGGTTCCTAAGCCTCTCCTCATTTTTTTGAATTCTTGTTTCTTCATTCTCTTCTGTTTGGTTGTTTCTTTCTTTCTTCTGGTCCACTCCATTGATTGGAGTCCCAGCTTTCTTCTCATAACTGTTGGTTGCCTGTGCATTTCCCTTCATTTCACTTAGCCTAGCCTTTATTTTTTCATCTAATTTGCCACTAAAATTGACCAGTTCTGTGAGCATCCTGATCACCAATGCTTGAACTGTGCATCTGATAGATTGGCTATCTCTTCATCGCTTAGTTGTAATTTGCTCTAGAGCTTTGATCTGTTCTTCCATTTGGGCCATTTTTTTTTTGTCTTGTCGCACCTGTTTTGTATGAGGGGCAGAGCCTTAGGTGTTCACCAGGGTGGGGCAACTACGTTGCTGGATTGTGACACTATATGTGGGGGTGGGTCCGAGAGGAAACAGTGGGGCTTGCTCAGCTCTCTGTCAGATCTTAGTCCCCTCTGCCACTTCCCCCAAGCAAACTGGGCCTTTCTGATGCTGATTCCCAGGTGGGTGGGCTTGAGTACATTCTAGGACCCTGTGGGTCTCCCCAACGAACTCTCCTGTGAGGCTGGAAGTCTCTCCCTGCGCCTTAACCCCTAGAGGTGTTTGCAATCCATGTTTTGAGGCTTTATTTCTATGCACTGGGGCCCTGGGTAGCACGGTCTGTCTCACTCCCCAATTTCACCTGGTTTATCTGTGCATGAATGTGGGACCTCCCAATCAACCATGTTGTGCACAGTGCTCGACTTCACAATCGCTGCCTCACTGGGTCTGCCCATTGCCACCCCTCACCCAGGGTCTGCCAGCTGCCGCCTGCATGCCTAGGGTCCACCCGCTGCCATCTTGTGTGCCCTGAGTGCCTTGTGTGCCTGGTGCCACCACTTTTTGTTCTCTCTCTGTCCGGCTTTCCCACTCCTCCCGCTCCCCACGGTCTGGATGAATGTGTCTATGTTATCTCCTTGGTTGTCTGACTTCCATACAGTTTAATTTTTTTGTCAGTTCTAGCTGTTATTTTGTTTCTAAATTTTTGTTGTCCTTATTCTGGTTGTGCGAGGGGGAACAGTGTGTCTACCTATGCCTCCATCTTGGCCGGAAGTCCCACCCCTGTATATTGAAGGACTTTGTTAAGAATAAAAGCAAAAGTGTGTCCCAGACCCCTACACTTTGGGGGTTACTGGGATCCCATTAATTAAACTGACACTGTGGTCTCTATTTTATTCTCTATTTTACTCCTTAAGTCTGTTCTCTACTGAAGCAGTTGAGCAGCACAGCTAAGAACACAAGCTCTGGCACTGGCCTTCCCAACATCATCACTTACTAGCTCTGTTATTGAGACATGTTTCTCAGTGTCTGTGTGCCTGTTCCCTTGGCCATAAAATGACACCATCATTCTCAACTCCTGTTATTTTCACTGAATAAAACTTGGAGAAGAGGGTAGGTGGGTGGTTGACCCTTGAGTGCCTCACTCTTTGTGTATGTGAGTGGGATCCAGTTTCCTTTGTCTAAAGGAGCTACACTGACTGAAGTCATGGCTATACAATCAAAAGACTAAATATTTTAAAAATGAAATGTAACATACAAACTGCCTTCAGAGTAGAACCCCAGTTAGCAAATCCATGGAATCTCTGTTTTTCCAAACCTGACCTGTTTGTTTCTACTACCTTAACTACCAATAAAACTCTCTCTTCTTAAATGTTCATGATTCATCTTTTTCTCTCCATTGGTGGATGTGGGAAAAGAATGGTGTTTGATTAAAAATAAGTGAAAATCCCTTTCCTGTAGGCTCACTCAATAATGCCATGTACATTTCTCAAGCAGTATTTGAGAGTCCCATCAGGTTCAGCTGAAGCTTTCTGAGCGCAGCTAGGATCACAGCTGACATTCAGAGCTGCGGCTGCTGCTCACGGCATTCCGGGACCCTGTGTCCTGAGAGACTGAGGGAAAGGAACCAAAAAAGGAAGAGAGACCTAATGCTCACTTCCCGCCGCCAAGCCTGAGACCAGGCTCCTAGTGCCTTGAGTGGCTGGGATCACCAGGGCTGGGCCCCTGCAATTGTAATGAATATAACTTATTAAATAGCTCCTCTGAATCCATTGCCTTACATAATTACTATAAAAATAACTGTAACTATCACATCTATTTTTTAGATGAGGTCAAAGAGACTTAGGATTTGCCAACATAACCAGGACTCAGATCTCTCTCTCTCATTCAAAGCTTAAGCTGCTTCCCATCACACTGAGAAGGTGCCCATGCCTTGCACTTGCCTGCTTTCTGGAACCATGAGAAAGGTACTGAATGCAAGCCCCCACTTCCAGGTGAGAGTTCAGAGTCACGGTCCAGAGGGTAGGCTCTGGAGCCAGAATGCCTGGGTTTGAATCCCGTGGGTGGTGCGGTCTTACAGACATTCCCCAATAGTCCTTTGTCACATGTTCTCATCTATCAAGTGTGGACAGTGGTCATGGTGCCCTTCGTGAGAATGTTGTGAGGACTGTGAAAACACACGTAAAGCGTGCTGAGACATACAGAGAAGAGTACGTGCGCTGGAGACCGGTCCCAGCTGTCAGCTCCCTACCTCTGGCCAGTGCAGATGTGTTGACAGGACGGTCGTCACTGTGCCAATCTGTCTTCATTCTGTGGGGCTCGATTACTCTCTTTCTAGCACTCACGTTCACGTGTGCATGCACACACATACACACTCATACACTTTAATCCACAAGGCCAGAATTTAGACTGGGTCCGTATTTCTGGTAGTAGGGTTATTTCTGACTGTGAATTCCTGTATTAATGTAAGTAGAACCCAAATCTCCGAACACATCCTGAAGGCACTGCATGAGTCCGCACCCTTGCATTTGGAAACAGGCCCGTCTCAGCTTTGTCACTAACCTGCCAGGGAAACTTCCCCTCTGAGCTTCAGTGCGCTCCTTCTGAAAGAGGATGATACCCACTTCATAGGGTTATAAGCATTAAAAGGGAAAAGCATGCAAATACCCATAGTGCACACTAAATGCTAGAGAGATTGTTAAAATTATCTAGTTGTGCCATTTCATTTTCCTTGAAAGTTTGCAAAAATAGTAGTTTGGATTTTTTCATAGCACCTGTAAAGTCACCCACTGTAAGGCAGGTCTTTGTCAAATTAGGTAACCGGTTCTGTTCTTTACCTTTTGGTTGTTTCATAAAATTTGAAAAACACCCACATCTAACTTCCCACAGGGAGTCTGTTTGGAGGAACCCATCACATCAGAGACTTTGCCCCCATTTTCATACCCTGTGGTTGTGGAGTGAGATGTCCTGACTTTCTACTCTGGAAGTGGAGTTCGTGTCTTGCAAGAAAGCATGTGTTTCTTGTCTGAATAAATGTGGTGGTTTGAGTCTGTGTGTGTGTGTGTGTGTGTGTGTGTGTGTGTGCGCTTAACATCTGAACATTTAAGGATTGTGGTACTTTAATTACCTAGCTTTAATAGCATTTCTCTTTGTTTACAAATGACAAATTTTTTCTGGAAGTTTGAAAAGGTGCTAAATAATAGACTCCATATGAATAACAATAACTTTCACATGCCGAGCATACGTGGTGGGCACTGCTAAGTGTTTGGCAGCCTCGTCCTCATCTACTTCTCTCAATACAATAGTTTGTCCCCAAAGATTGCTGTTGCCTTCGTTTTACAAAGCAGGACAAGGGCTGAGAAAAATAATCAGATGTGTGTGTGGCAAGAACACTGAAGCCCTACTCTTAGCAACTTCCAAGTACACAACATAGGATTGTTATCTACAGTCAGGGTAGAGCTGGCATTGGAACTCGGGTCTGTCTGACTTCAGAGCTTGCTCTCAAGTTAGTTAGCAGCCTCCCACCTGGTTACAGGGACATAGAGATCCGTGTTCCATGGATGCTGCTTGGGTAGATGAGGCTCCTGATGTAACTTAAACTGATTTGGGACAAAGGCAAGGTATCTCCAATCGATCTACCAGCAAGACTTCTCTGCAGCAGAGGAATAAGCCAATTTGCTACTCATTAGTCAAGTGATTTTAAAATTTTACCCAAAGCACTCACCACCCCTGTCTGGTAGCTTCATTTTTGTTGAGGCTAAAACTTGAGTGTTCAGTTCACACAGAATGATGCAGGCCCTCACCCAAAGGCCCTTGCCTGAGCCGGGCACTGCCCTTTTAGCTCGGGGCACGCCTTCCCACAGGACCTGCCTGCTGGCCCAGGCTCTGAGGTTCTCACTGCCGCTGGAGGTGCTTCCCTGCTCTCTGGGTTCCCTGCTGGCTGGGGCTCGACAGTCGTACAAGCAGCTGCGGGACAAATGCACTTACTGGGAAGGTAAGGGGCGTCTGATTCTGGCCACCTGCTCCCCATCCTCCTCTTCGGGCCTGTCCTCAGTCTCGCCGCCGTAGCCGCTGTCCTCCGTGTCTATGCTGTCACTCCTCCCCTTGGGCTCATCCTGCTCCATCGCCTTCCAGCCTTTGGTCAGCTCAGACACCAGGTTGGAGCATTTTCTCCGCCGTGTTGGGGAGCCGTGGCTGTGGAGAATCCGGTCAATGTCATCCTCTGGCTGCCCAGGTTCTGGCATGCCACCGTCCTTCTCATATCTGTGGCTGAGGTCACTCACGTCTCTTCCTCTCTCATAAGCTTTGCTGACAACTGTTTTGGTCACCTCTTTCCTTTTGATGTGAGAGACCTCAGTGGCTTCCTCTGAGCTCTGTCCATCTCCATGCCCCTCTGGCTTTAGGGAAGGAGACTTTGGGGCACTCCAAACTTTCTGGTTGGGAGCGGGGTGTGTCACTGGTTTAGGATCTTGGGTTGAGTCCTGAGTCCTACCCGGCAGCCAGCCTGCAGGCTCCTGGGCCTGCCTGGTGCTGTTCTCATTTGCCCACTGCTGCCAACCTCGGGCCAAGCTGATCACCAGGGTGGCTCTGTGGATCTTCTGGAGGGCTCTCTTGGCCGGCCCCTCCTGTCTCTCTTTGTCCCCCGCAACCATGCTACCCTTCTCTTCTGCGCTGATGGCCTGGGCACCGGCTAAAATGACTGGGGACCCGGGGACTGCCTCGGACTTAAATAGAAGCAGGGTGTGGGGCAGGAAGAGAGTTTGGTGATGATGAAAGTATGTTAAGCATGTCTCGCCAAGATGTGGCGCCTTCCCCCTGACAGTGTTCTTTTTTTAAACCCCGAGGGCTCCAATTTCATCATAGCACAGGGACATCTCTGCTGGTCCAGGACAGTGATGTGCTCACTCACTTTCTTCTCCAAGTGCCAGAGTGGAAATTACTAGATCTGATCATGTGTTCAGCGTTATGTTTTTCTTGACCTTAAAATATGGTCCTACCATTTATAGAAGCATAAAATATGTGCACAAATTGTGCTAGGAACATTACAGGTGTGTTCTTATTTAAACCTCAACAGCCCTCAAGATAGCTCTCACTTAGTCTCCTTTTAGAGCTGAGTACAATGAAATATAACTTCCTAAAGCTATTCATATCTGAGGTTTGAACCCAGACCTGTCTGCTTCAAAGCCTGTGCCTCGTTTCATCCTAGCGATCAAAGATCCCAAGGTGCCTTTTTCTCTGGTCTTCAGCTCTATTCAGTACAGACCTTAGAAGTCGCCTCATCCCACCTCTGTTTTCCGGATGAGAAAATTGAGGACCAGCCAAAGGGGGTGACAATGGCTCTGTCTTCCAGTCCTAGGTTTGAATCTGTGTGTCAACAAATCATATGAAAATAAGACAGCAGTCAAAATGCTGCTTCGATTATTTTTTAAACCTTCAAATTAAGACCTGCACACACGTTGAATTTCACAGATCGTAACAATAAACCTCAAGTTGTTTGTTTAAAAAGACATTCATTTAAAGACAAAATAAGTGAATGCCTAAGAAGGAACCTGTGCCTGGCATTTTAATAACACAATCATCCTTGTACAAAAAGACCACTCTTTCAATTCTCAGAACAAAAATTCAAATAACATAGTTTTTTTTTAAAGGACTGGATTGATACATCATTTGGACAAAGAACCATCTATGAAGTATAGTAAACCAGAGAAAAATGCCCAGAGCTGAGCACTCAAAGACAGCCAAATAGCACCGTTTTCATATGGCAGTTGTGTGGACCTCAGGGTCGTGCCCTTCCCTCCCATCGGACCCACAGTCGACCATATTAACAGGAAACTGCTCAGGGCCTCGAATAGTATGAACTTCTGAGAGTTAAACCCCCTCCATTAAAAAAAACGTCAGATTTTCATCCGGAGGTCACTTACCCCCTAGGATTAAAACAACGTGGAGATGATGTAACACTCTAGAAATCTGTCACACATGTTTTCAGAGTTCAACATTATCTGATAATGTTAACTGCTGTCCAACAGTTTGGAGTCAAAATCCCTCTTGATTAATTAAGAGGAAATTGGATCGCAAGGAAAGAAAACTGTTGCTAACCAAGGCTGGATCCAAAGTCTGAAATTTCTGGCTTCCTTGGAATGTAGAGACGCTGCAGACAGTTTGCTTCCTGTGAATCCTTTCATTGCACCTGGGCGCCTTAGCAGGGAAGGGGGTTCTTCACACACCCCTGAGCTTAGCCCAGGATCAGGCTTATCCATAGTTTCCAAAGGGATTTTTCTGCTTCCCCTCCTCCACATGCAGTTCCGATTGAGGGAGAAAGAATGGAGACAGCAAATTGGTCTTAGTCTTTCAGGGGTTGCAGTTGGCTGCCTGGGGACCAGGGCTGTCAGTGATAGTCTTGACAAAACACAGCGGCAGCTCCTAAAAGAGTCTGGTTATTGCTTATGAGCTTTCACTGCCATGGCAGCTGTGGACCTTCATTCATACTTCTCCAGAAAAGAGTGAGCACTCATCGCTAAGGCAAGATCTGTATGCTGCCTACTGGGTCTCCTCTGATGACTGTACAGATGTCTCATCTTCTTTCTGAACCTAGAGCTGGACGCTTAGGTGTACAGTATTCTTCCACTCTGATAGAAGATGTAAATGATAAAAATAAAGCCTCAAAAACAAAGACATAGTGAAATAAGAAGTAGCTTACAATGCAAGTGTTCTATAAAACCATGAGATTAGAAACTATAAGGGAAGATGCAGACCTGATTAATGAAGTCATTATCACCTAACGAATTTCTCATAAATGTAACTGTGTTTTGAAAAAATATTAGTTATTATTTGAAGATATGAGCAGTACTGGGGAGGGAGTTCTATTTATACACTTCTTTGCACAATACAATTATGAGTCAGACAGAGCTAACCCTCCTAATGGGGTATAGAACCTTACTAGACAGACTTTAGAACCTGCATTTGCTGAGAGCTCATAGGAGACAATAATTTCTTTGAACCTTTCTACATAAGCTAATAAGTCCTTTACCAGTTTAGTTTCAGAAAAGTGGGAATGGAAAGACTGTAGTGAAGAGCAAAAAGGGCTTCTGGTTTCAGTTGCATGTACATGATGCTTAGGGAAGGTATACCAAGAGTGAGGCGTGATGGAAGGCAACGTGGGAGGGGCTATAAAGCCAAACAAAACAGAACCTACTTCCAGGGTTTTCCCAATCTCGCCAGGAGAAGACATACATAGTCTTCTTCAATAGTTTTGAGAGAGCTACATTAGAAAAAAAATAAAGTTTTATGGGGTCATTGAGTAAAGGGTGACTGATTTTATCAGAAGGATTTCACAGACATGCCAGTCCTTTATCTGGTCCTTAAAGATACGGAGAGCTTTGCCAGGTGAGGAGAGGGCACTCTAAATCTCTGAAGAAACAACATGAACAAAGTCACGAAGGCACATGGTTCACACAGAGCAGAGGCCACAAACTCCAATGCCGGCAGGGTCACAGGGAGCACTTACGTGTGAGCTGAGTCGGGTGGGGGCACAACGTGGGGTGGCAAGGTAATGTTTCAAGAGAAGTTAGAGATCTGGTGTAGGGTAAACAGGCAGTCTGGCTCCCTCACCCAGATGTCTGGACAACTAAGGGAAGCAGTTTCCCATAACCTTGAGAATGGGCCTGGTAAGCAGTGTTCTCGTAGCCTTGAGGCTGGGTCCAATAAACGTTTCCCACAGCCTTGAGTGGGCTCACGTGTGCAGAATGAAGCTCTGTTGCATAATATCTTGGCTTCTTGCCAGCTCTGTGTGCACGCAGCATATAAGGGAGTTGGGACTTCCTGCGGTGTCACATGAGTTCAACACACAAGGGGACATGCGGTTTGCAGTGTGTGTGCACTGCCCACTCTTGAATAAGGGCTTGCCAGACATCCAACAGCTCCACGAAAATTCTTCCATCTGCCCAAATTCTGTGAACCCATCTTGCCTGGAACAGTCACAACACATCTGGGTTTTTATACGAACTTGCCCAATTCTTTAAGTGGTGACACTTAACACACATACACACATTTCACACTTACACACTGTAGCGCTGAGTGAACCAACACAGTGTAGCAGGTCTGGACCAAATCAGTTCGTGGGCCCCCTGTTACGCCTTTTAGAGAAGAGCATACAGTGTTTATGGGGCAAGAAAAAGGTGCCAGAAAGCAGTAGGACAGGCCTTTGAAGAAGTAAGAGCGACATTGTAATGAACATCTGGCAAGGAATTCAGATGTTTTATCATACGGGACTCGTTGCATCCCTCAAGGATTCTACGCCTCGGTGCAATACCAAAATTGGGTTACCATGTGATCAAATCTAGATCCAACAAAATGGGGTTTGGATTTGAAAAAGGTGAGACTAAGGGAGTCTGTTTATAGGGGTTACTAAATAATACTCAATTACTAAAATTGGGAAAGAACCAAAGGAGGATTTGAAAGGAGAGAAAGATTTGAGAGCCAGTGAGGGTAACTGGTCATAGGGACCAACTAGTCACCATGGGTGATGGGTGTCAGGGATGATACAGAGTTTGCTATTTAAGTGGCAGGTATGAGGCAGTGACTAAGCTGGGGGGGACCTGCAGGAGGAGAGGCTCTGTGGTGAGAAGGAAGTGTTTCCATCTGGCGTTGAGAGAGCCATGGGTCGTGCGCGTGCAGATGTCGAGTAGTGAGAATAACCAGGGATACAGACCCTGTGGCCAGGCAGTACCAGGTGAAGACCCAGGATCTGCTGGTGAGCAGGGTGACCCAGGGCATGTCACTGATTTTCTCTAAGATTCAGTTCTTAACTATGAGATCAATATTATCAGAGCGTTTACCTCAATGAAGTCAGAGCAGGGACTAAATGAGGTAACACGTGAAGCACTTAACACCATGCCTGATACATGCATACTCTCAGTAAGTGGTTATTGTTGTTAATACTTTGATTCTGAGTCCCAGAGTTAGAGAACTAAAGCCCCTTAAATAGTTCTGTTTGACCAAGGGCAGGATGGATGCCAGGGTGAGTCTTTTGGTGGAAGGGTCAGGTGAAGTCACTGGTAGGGTGTGGAGGCTTCAAGGGGAAGCTTATTTATAGTGTTTTATTTTAAGATAATTTATAGTGAGGCTCCTAAGGCAGTGTCTCAAAGGTTTCCCTCACTCTGGGGAGGGTCAGATGATGTCTCAGTTACTTGGTAGTGATAAACAAAGAGTTGAGCAGACTCCCGGAACCTTCTGGAACATAGAGCTCAGTGCTTTGCAATGCCTGAGGATCCCATTAGGACCTTAAATCACATTAGGATCACCTGTGCAGGCGGTGGAGCGCTGTCGCTGGAAAGGTCCTGCCCGGACCTGCCTGAATTTAGCTGTGGTTCCAGCTGCAGAAGTGCTGCAGGCCCAGCAGGCACTCCGCTCACGGGTTTTGTGTGTCCTGACCCGGGTACGGGTTCGGGCAGATTGCTTGTGCAGTCTGGCTCTCCTTTCAGAATCTGCCGCATCAGAGAAGTTCACTGAGTTCCCTGAGACGCCATTGCCTGGTCTGAAATGGCAGTAATATTATCTCTTACCACCCCCCAACCCCCACCCCGGGGTGTTACCGTGTTTCTGTGGGATGCTGTCTGTGAAGCATCACTGGACACATTAGGCACTCACCGCTCTTTCAAATGCCCTCTCCACCTGACTTTGGGACAAAGCATTCTCTCACTGTCCTCCCACGTCACTGGCTACTTCCTCTCTGCTCCCCAGCTCC